CAATGTATTAGTAGAGATTCGTTGAAATGTAATCTTTTAAATTTAGACAAAAATTTCTCTAAATTAAATATAGGTTTTCAGAGTACTTGCAAAAATGTAATCAAATAAAAGAAACTAAGAACTCTTCTAGCAAATCGATTATGATTTAAAACTATGAAAATATTTTTTCGTTGATATTATCGATAAATAATTTTATTTTTTGTATGTTTTTTCATATGTTTATTTGATTTCTTTCTTTCATAGAATAATTATATTTTTCATTTTTATTTTCCTATATTTAATTGTACTTTTACTTTATCAAACAATGATACAGAAATCATCGTTAATAGAGAAAGTTACATATTACGTAACGGATATAGAGTTGGAGGATTTCTTGTCTATTGAATATTTTTCTTGAAAATAAATTTATTTTTTTATAAAATTTTAATCGTTTCTTGTATTTTTTTTAAACAATTAAATAAAATTTTATTTTTATTTTATAAAAATACAGAAATACTTCACTTTTATCTCTAACAATAAAGATCTCTCTAGCTCTATTATTTATTTTAAAAAAATCTAAAGGTAAAGTAATACCTGTACTTCTCATATTCACTGATTTTTCTAATTCATGTTGTATGTCTGTATTTTTTTTTTGTATTATTTAATTTTATATCTAAATAAAATCAATGTAATACGACGATAAAAACTAGATAGAAGTACTCAGATTTTACCATGAGTACTGCTGTCGGATATTCATCAGTTTTCACGACATTTTTCAGTGCGAGTAGTTTTTGAGTACTCACTGAGTACTTGCATTAAGGATAGTCTTTGGACTACAAAAAATAACATACTTACACCATTTGTTGTTACTGTAACATAATTTCTTGTCGTGCCATAAAGAGTAATACTGAATGGAAGACTAACGCCAAGCATATCATCATCGACCGATCCATCAGTAGGAGATGACCAAATAGTATTTGGATTTGCTAGTTGAATAGCAGGAGCTGTACTGCATACGCCAGCTGAGCAACTTGTATAAGTAGATGCACAAACGTAACCAACTGCACCACAGTTGTAAAAATCGATCATTATATTAACACAAGTTTGTGACGGAGTACGAACATATGGTGAAACACAATTGACTAAATTAGATCATACAAAAAAAAAAGAAGTATGAAAATTTAATTAATTCAATAGAAAAATTCAGAAAGGAAGATATTACTTAGAAATTGGATAAAAATTATATCAGAGCAAAATATATCTCTCTAGATTAGTTTAAAAAAATACATTTCAACATGTTCAAATCATTTTTTTGTTAGTTATTTAAAAAAAAAATTAAATTAATTAAGAATTATTTTGCAAAAATCAATAACAATATAACAAAGCATTTCGTAAAAAAATTGCTATATCATTCTGTTTTATAATTGATAGATTGTGTAATTATTTTGAATATCAACAAGTTTACGAAAGCAAAACTATTTAATAATATTTAGAAAATGTTAGTAGTCATTTATGAACTAATTGAAAAATAAAATATTTGAAAGACATTATAATCAAAGGAGTAATCCTATTGACAATTCTTTTTTAACGATGACACATAAATTATTTTGAAGTATAAATTCATGCATTTAATTAAATATCTTATTCTATGATTAGAATGTATGAAAAACAAGATGAAAATAATGAATATTCTATTTTTAAGGTATTTGTTAGTAACAAATATGTTAAATTAATGACTTATAAATTTAGTTAGTATTATTTCAAATATAGAGATAGTGTTCGACTTTTATTTGAAGATACATACCTGCAGTAGCTAAAATATACAATAGGATATTGTTCGATTTTATCGACATAAAAAAATTAGAAAAAGAAAATATTACTCGTTGTTATTGAGGTAGTAGTTTTTGATGTTGTTGAAGTTGTCGTTGATGTTGTTCTTGTTGTAGCTGTTGATGTTGTTGTTGTTGTTGTTGTTGTTGATGTTGTTGACGTTGTTGATGTTGTTGTTGTTGATGTTGTTGACGTTGAAGTTGTTGTTGATGTTGTTGAAGTGGTTGTTGTTGAAGTTGTTGTTGATGTTGTCGAAGTTGTTGATGTTGTTGTTGTGGCTGTGGTAGTAGTTGTCGTTGTGGTTGACGTTGTTATTGCTGATGTCTTGAATAATGTGAGACAGATGGCAGCAATAACTCCACCAAGAAGAATACAAATAACTGGAAGACAAAATAAATAAGGCGATGGACATCGACAACAAGTTCGACTTTTATAACACAGTGGAAAAATTCTTAATGTATGATAAGAGAAAAAAAAGTTCTTAAAGAATACATACGCAGTCTTTAGATTTTTATTCGTTTTCTTTTTAAGAGTATCTGTCGAATTTTTTCGACTTAATAATCTATTGTTAGAAATCTCAGTTGTGTTCGAGGAAATCTGTGAAGCCAAATTCTAAAAATAAAAAAAGAATCTCTTAGCACAATCTCTGTAGGATTATAATTGTGAAACATAATGTAGCTGCTCTGCTTAGTAATCATTGAAGATAGCTGTATTCTATTTATTTTGAAATACATTTCTTTACTATTCTTTTACTCAATTCTTCAAAAAATACAGCAAGGAAATAGTTCAAATGTCAGAATAATACACTATTGATATACAGTCTGTGAGAGAGTAAAGTTCTACATTGATATTCGATAAATGAATAGATAAAATTAAGTAATTAGTATATGTTCTTTCTATGCCTTCACCTTTACACATCAATTTTTCGATCATATTGAGGTAACATAAAATAGATCAAGACTGATAGATTAATTTCAAAAGAATTTTCTACTAATGTTTGTGTTTTCTTCAAATGATAAAGAACAATTAGCTGTGTATGTTATTTGATGATCTTCTTAAACATATGTTTCCTATACATAGTTTTTTATTTTCAATTTCATTTCATTATGATCGTTCATTCAAACTTCAGTTCTATATTTATTTTCTCTACTTGTCTATTTTATTGTACAGTATTCTTTCTCCAATAAAAACATACGAGTTCTGTATAGAAATATGAGTTTAAACAAGAGAAATTCATTAAGTATTATTCGTAACGAAGGGTGGAGAATAGATTTGACAATATAATCAATTTCATTTGAAAATTGAAAAGAAGCCATATGTATATAGTTTGGTGTGTAATAGAAGCACCTCTACTCCGCCGTCTCAAATAGTAATATTTTTTTTTGTTTATATGCTGGATTGTGATGGAAATATTCAACTAGGGAGCAAACAACTCAAAATTACATATTAATGAAGCAAATTGGATAGTGCTGGCGAATTCTTGAGAAATTCTATCAAGCACAAGAGTTGTTTTTTAAATCTGAATGAATTTTTATGTCAAAAAACAATTGATTAACTAGGGTTTTTTTTGCTTTCGAGCTGTCAGAAATAGTGATGAAGATGTTACATAAGTCTCAGTTTCCTACTTTCGTAACAACTGTACTTGTTTTAATTGCTTTCATAAACAATGTTTCTATCAAACATATCTTCCTAAGAAGTATGAAAAATATGTACAAATTTACAAACTTCAGTAAGAACTCGACTTTAAGTAGCGTATTCAAAAACGTTTTCGAACTAATATTTATTAAGAAAATGAAAGAAGCATTTGTATCAGTATTTGCGTGTAGTTCATAGAAGGCTCTATATCTACATATAACTATTATGGTTCAGAAACAAAGCTTTTTGTTCTGGAAGAATACTCTGTATCTAATGTTTATTAATATATGGTGAAAAGGTATGATAATCGATGGCTAATCATTGAATATAGCTTCTAAAGGAAATCATCATTTAAAAAATAGATAATCGTAAGTGTGAATATGTATGATTGTAGTTCTTCTCTTCACTAACACCCAAATCTACACATGCTCCAATCTGAATGTTTGTTATGGTCTGTAATGGGTTTCCATGGTGTTTGTCCTTGTCTATCGAGAGGGGGTAATGAATTCAAATTTCTATCTTATATACTACAGTCCTCCTTTTAGATCGTATTTCATAAAAATAGGAATTGATCATTGAACTTAGAAATATTATCTGTGTTTTAAAACATCAATAGTTGATAGTTTTAGCTGAGAAATTTATACATGAATTATAATGTTTTGAAAATAAACAACGAATTTGATAAACTGATACATTCATGTATTTTGTCTAATTCTAATCAAATTTTAGTATTTTCTCTACTGATTAGTCATGAATGATAAAATATCTTCTGTGTTTGTATATTTTACCTTGAATGGCAATTGATATCGCTCATTATTTTTTGTCATAATGACATCATTCGTTTTAGTTTCTACCAGTTCGAATGAGTTACCATGGTTCGTTTTAATTCTTGACAATTCGTATGAATTGCCAGGACTCGTTTGAGTTTTTGACGATATAATTGAGTTGTCATAATTTGTTTTTCTTGATTTACTTGAATATTCACGAATTGCTGTAATACTTGATATCTAATATCAGAAAACAAGATATTTATTGACTAAAAAGTAAATATTTTTTTGAATTAAAAAACATACTAAAATTTTTGATGGTTTAAAAATTTTTCGTCGTGACACTAGCTTAACACATGGTACAGATGATAAAGATTGATGTCGAACATTAAGTTTTTCGTTAAGTGAATTTGATAATGGTACTATTTGGCGAATTTTCTTTTTGGTTGACTGTCGCAGCTTGGTTTTCATTTTAATGAATGTATAATGTCAATGTGCATTATTTTTATCGAAGTAAAATGAACGTTGATAATAGGTTTCTTTGACATGGAGTATTCATTGGTACAGGTAGGAAGAAAAAAACAAATAACGTATTTTATATGTCTGAAATACTCTCTGAATGAAGACATGTATATTATTCAAAAGGCTTCATTTTGATTGGCATGATGCGCTCAAGCTTTTTTATAATTTTTTCTAATCAGAAGAAATAGTTTTTTTTTATATTTAATATTCAAATGTTATTTTGGTCTGTAATAAAAATTTTTCAGAATTGAAAATTTTCACCGAAAATGTGTGTGTGGGTATGTGGGTGTGAGTTTAGATATGCGTTTTTTCCTCAGTTATACCCATAGGCATATCCACACCCAACAATGATCATTTGGTATATCAACAATGAATATGGTGGTATTTGTCTGCCATATACTGATGTTGTTTCTACAATCATGATTACGATTCAGACCATTATCGTAAATCATTTTCGGTCATTGATTATGAATATTTTCGGTCTACTTACAATTCTTGATGTTCATGCGCAGAGAAATCGAATACTACCGATGTTTAGTAGTGTGAGTCAACAGCATCCTACTTAAACTCAACTAGCAAGAATATTATTATGGTAAATACTTAATTATCTCATCTTTTTCTTGCCCATTGGTAGTACATACACATTAGTCGTGGTCAAATCTACTATGCAAACGGCATTTCTTGACTTTATCGTTAACATATGTTCATTATGGCATCAATTTTTCTACGTTACACCCTTCTTCGTATACATTCTGTCGGCATGTATACGTAGACCTGAATTCATACGTGTAATATATTGTTGCACCAAGCTCTTTCACAGAAATCAAACTTTTATAAACAATATTACTATGGTTCATCCTGATAGAGATCGTACAATTATCCAATAATAAAAAGACTAATGAAAAACAATAATAAATTGTTTGATCTTTCTCAAATATAACTTTTTTTTTTTTTACTAAATCTCCTTCCCCGCCAGCCTAGAAAAGAAGGCTACCCTGCCAGGAGGCTATGTCTAAACAAAAGTTCAACAGCCATATTACAAAATGATGCACCTTGGTTATTATATATTTTTTTAAATTTTAAATTAAGAATTAGTTAAAAGCTGATCTCAATAGAAGATTGTTCCATAAGTAACGATGTCTGGACGCTTATAAGGCGATAGTCTTTTATTCTGGGGAGAGGAAAGGTTTATAATATAATTAATCTAGTAACAACATAAGTCATTGTTGTCCTGTGTTGTAGTTATTTTAATAAATATGCTTCAGAATTATTAGATATTTCTATGTTGCCGATCAACATTGAATAGGAATCAATTAAATATAATTTGATATGTATGAGTTATTCAAATGTCATTTTAACTTCATGCAAGACATCTTCTAATTTTCAAATAGCATATTAATCGATGATAAAAAGCTGATAAATTAAACTAATATTCAGCATTATAGTCAATGTCCCTATTCCATTCTTTCTTCTAATGGCAATAAGAATTTTTCAATTATATTTATTAAATAGAAAGTCAAAAACCCGAGAATTGTAATAATAATATATACCAGAAAGCGAACTGAATAAGAAAGCCTTCATTTAGATTCGAATCGATTCGACTAGGTCTGGATGTGGATATGGGTGTTGTTGAACACATGGCTCACATTCTCACTCACATTCTAGTAGAATTCTAGTGCAAATATATATCTATTGGGCTTTTAAATAAGAAAAACTACATTGAGCATCACATTATCAATTGTTGCCGCAAATGAGTGTATAAATGATAAAGTCACACTCCATTGAAGCTGTTTTCTTCTTACAAACTCATATCATTGTTGGAAAAAAGCGTTTCAGTTCCAACATAAACGGTATTAACTAGGAATAGTCAGGTAAATGATGCTATTATATGTTTTGTACAAAAAAAGTCTGTAGAATGAAATTGTCTCATCTCAGGTGAAATTGCAAACTTTTGCGAATGATCCTATGAATTGAGACGGTTTTACTCGTTTCAATCCATCTCATGCAGAGGTTCTGATTAGAACATATTGTATTTCAATCAAATGGGCTAAAATGAATAAAACCATTCTATTACTTATTCCCATCGGTTTTCTATTTCATGAACATCATGCAAACCGAATACAATGACGACAAAAAATGAAACTTTTATTTTGTACATATTGTCGTCTAAGTTTTCTTTTTAACACATGGCGATGAATCGACAAAAGCATTTTGAGATTTAAGTGAATTTACCTCATTATAAACAATCGATTTATTGATAAAGATGCTTAAAGAAGAACAAACTTCTTGGCAGCACACTTTTTATTATCTTTCAGATGATTGGCTGCTCATAAACTATCATTTTGGGATTTCTATAGACCATCCAATCAAACATTTCTTTTTTTCATTGTAAAAAAAATTCTTTTCATGTGATCTTTGCTAAAACTATTGAAAATCCATTTTGTAAAGTGCACACATTTCTGTTCTTTTGTTGATCAAATATTCTTGGTTCTCTGACTTTCTCGAATGCGAAACTGTCAAGATTGTTCAGTAATATTCTCTTAATGCTCATTCTTGAGATTTTCATTTTAGCCATCAATTTTCTTCGGCTTTCATATCAATAAATGAATTGTTGATAATGAGGTCAATCGACTTGAATCTCAAAAGATATTTGTCAGTTTATCGCCATGTTTATACTTTTTTTTTACAACTGTTTAAATGTCTTTACTTCTTATATATTTTAAAATATTTCAAAAACGAGCTCCAAATCAAAACATTTGAATTGGTGTAGAGATTTGAACGTTTAATCTTTTGATTAATGAAAGTATGTCGACAAAATCGAGAACAGAGAAGAAAATTTGAAAATAATAATACTATAATTCTCTATTTGTCATCTGTTATTTCTGAAAATAATTCAAAAAGTTTGTAAGAATTTTACAGGATTTATATCTCTGTAATAATAATAAATAGATAGCTCAAATACTATCATAGAGTAAATCTAGATATCTGATATAGGGCAGCAAAACTTAATAGACATCCTGTAAGCCTGTTTCAATTGTCGATCATGAAAGAGCGAATGGGCAGATTGGACTTTGATATTTTGTTCCTCATCGAATTAGGATGATGTCAATTACACAATAGATTTGTTAGAGAGATATACATTCATCGTTAGCTAACATGTCTTCTTGACCACTATTTGACATCAGCGAATCCGACAATTCAGAAGCATGCCTGTCGTGCATATTTGGATTGAACTTTCCATCGGTGTCATAAGTCGAGGTCAATGCATAAGACGTTGTATATTGTGAATCGATTGTCGGATTAATGTCATTGTTTGTAGAGAATAAATATATTCAGTCTGCGCAATCGCTCTACTGTCAGATAAGTCAGCAAGAATGTATGATGATATGCTCTTGTTCGAGAATCTTTCGACGAAGCTGATCCGAGAAATCTTCAATTATCTCGTTCCAATCATCTTCTACATGCCTTCGAAAATCTCAACATTGATCGATAATTTTCATCATTTTCTCTTCACCCACCCACATCAACAGCCTGCTTATGGCAAGGAAATTCAGTAGCAGATTTTTTTCTGTATAAAAAACTGAAATAGAAAAAGCACTAAAAATGAAATGCTTCTAAAAAGCTGTTAGTACAATTCTTAAAGAATGAAAATATGAAACACGATGGAGTTGCTAACACTGTAAAAGTGGAAATATAGATTACAGTCACGATCTGTGGAAGGTGAGAGGAAGGTCTGAACTTTTATCCCATACTTCATCACTCCTTTTACATTGTGTTTTGCAAGATTCCTATATAGTTTTAACATTATTGATTTATATAGACGATGTTCGATGAGTGAAAATCAATAAGAAAGACAGATTTACATTTTTCTTCTTCTATGATTTGTATTTTGTTTGATTAATTCACATACTTTTAATCGCTAGCTTTAGGTCTTAATCATGAAGAGAAAAACTCAAATTTATTTACTTCTATGTGCTATTTTACACATGAATATGTTCGAAATTAGATAGATTAGTAATATTTCTAAAAAGTGAATCATAATCTTTTGCTAAGAGATCTGTCCATTCTCGATCAAAATACGTTAATCACTCATGAGAGAAAAATGCAATCGTTGTTTATTATTTTTCATAAAGAAAAAGATTTTACAAATATCAATATCAGATAGAATTTTATTCTATAGAAAGATATTCTAGTCTCAAATAATTTACTGACATATTCATAACTGAGTATCTTCTTTTGTATTCGTGGTATTCCGAAATTTGAAGAAAGAGTCGAAAAATTTTCTTTTGTGATCTTCGTGTTATTTTCAAAACAGCTAAAGTTAGCCGCTACCTTTCAAACAAATTCAAGCATCGAAGAAAAGTACTCCATAGCTTTTCCCAAGATTGGGTGCATAATGTGGGTGTTGATGTAGATGATCAAGTGATTAATTGCATCAATACTAATTGTCCTGGAAAACCTAGATGATGATGTTTCAAATTATGTAGGAGAAAGCTCTTGGCTATCTCATCAGGTGGAATGTCACGAATTGTAATCGTTTCTTTTGCTGTTGGATGTCAGTATGGCTACCAGTGAATTGGAGAATCCCATTCATCTTCTTCTTTAATATTAATGTAGAGATGCTAAAATCAATTTGTATTGTTTTCAAAAAATATTCTGCTAGTTCACAATTATGAGAATGAAGGTGCATGTATTTAATTCAATCTCATCTACAATGATGACAGGTTTCATTGATAAGAAAGTTTTTGGATTATATTGAAAAGTTACTCAACCATGATGTTTCTGATAAGTCATCGATAGTTAGAAGCTTTTAATTAACTTAAACTTTTATTGAATGTGCAAAACATATGCTATTACTAACAATGATAGGGTATTAGAAAATAACAATAAAAAGTAAATGACAAAAGCAAAAGTGTAATCAAATTTTATGTTCATCAGTGTCTGTATGAACAAATGAAGAATAAGATTCTTGATTATCGGTAACGTTCTGCATTAGACTAAAAGAGAAAATTCTACAGCATATGTGTTCAAGTAAAGGAAAGATATCGGATTGTTTTGCATCATTAATAGTATTGATCATGAGCAGCAGCTTCAGTCAAAAATAATTCAAATAACTTATGCCTTTCTGTATCGAGGTTTAAATGGAACTTGAATACAACCTTGCTGTTCTTCTCTGTCAAATTCAACCAATAGTTTCAACATGACTTCTTTGGGTGTAACAAACCAAATGAAATCTTGATATTTCTTCGGAATATTCAATGGAACATCTGTTCGAAAATCTATATTTTCAAAAACGTGTTTTGGCATTTTTTTCGATATTGATTTGGCTTGATCAAAAGGATCATCTGTTAATGGCAAAGACAAATTAACTAATGGCAATTGATGATCAATGTTCTAAAAATATAAACTAAAATTTATGTCAAACAATCGTTTCGAAATTTTACTTGTAATGTATTGTTCACAGAATTAATTTGTTCCATAGTACCATTCTGATAATTAATCATTTGAAGACTATGATATGCATTGGAATGATTTTCCATAGATAGATGTCGAGGACGCCAAACAGCATTTTCTTGATTGTATGTATACTAAAAAAGAAAAAATTATTATTCTTCTAGAATTTATCATACTGAACAATTTGATCATACTAATGGAAGAAATCTCCAACCATCACTAGCAAGAAATTCGACTGCATCAAGAATATAATTTATTTCTTCATCATTAGAAAAATACGATAAATTTAAACGAGTAAAACCTGGTTTCATCAATGCATTATGAGGAATTTCATCATTATCTTTATCAAGTCGATGTCTAGATGAAATCGAAATAATATCTTTGTTCAAATTTATATTTTACACTTACTCTGAGTCTTCAGTAATAAACTTGGTAAAAATCTCTGCCTTTTCATCATCAATTTCTAATAGATCCTATAAGATCATACAATATGTTTATGTTCAATCAATTTTTTTTCTTTATACTTACTAAAACATATGGTCCAGCACATGAACATCCTGATCGTACTTGAATTCCAAATAAATCATTCAATAATGAACAAATAAAATTATGATGTAAATATTTGCCAATTGATGGTACATATATAAGAAAGGCAAAGATTGCTAGACGAGAAACATCAAGTGGACCAAGAATAAATAATGTTGAATGATTTTGAAAACGTTGAAAAAATTTTTTTACTAATTCAACTTCACGTGTATCAATCAATTCTTGACCAACAGATTGTTTTAAATGAAAAACTAGACCAGCACGAATAGAGCCAAGAATATTCGGTGTTCCACCTTCTTCTCGTGTTTCAATATCTTTTATATATTCTGTAGCTATTCGAGTAACAAAATTGACTGTACCACCACCACAATCCGTAGGTACACGATTAGAAAACAGTTGCTTTTTTGCAATTAAAAGGCCTATAGAGAAATAAATAAGAATTATTTTTATATTTGTAATCACTTACCTGGTGCGCCTGGTCCACCGACGAATTTATGTGTAGAAATAAACACTGCATCTTTAGCAGCTTTTATCGATGGATTCATATCAATATGAACATAAGGAGCTGCTGCAGCATAATCCCAAAGAATCCAACCACCATAGTCATGTACTAATTCTGAAATATGATTTACATCGGCTTGAATACCAGTAACATTACTTGCTGCACTAAATGTACAAATAATTGATTTTCTTGCTTCATCACGATAATGTATTAATTGTTCTTTTAGAATATTTTGATCAAGATGACCTTGTTTGTTATTAGGAATTCGAACGAACTAGATGAAAAGTAAAAAAAATAAAAGAATGTTGTCAATCAAATTTGAAATAGTAATTATAATGCTTTTAAGATTTACTTCAACACCAGTTTCTTTTCATGGTAAGATATTTGAATGATGTTCTAATGTACTAACAAATACTACAAAACGATTTCGAATTTTATCATCTCGAAGTTGTAAAATATCGACTAATTTATTAATTGCAGCTGTAGATCCTAAAATATTCAATACATTTTTTTT